TGTGCATGTGTGTATGTGTGTGCGTATGTATTTATAAAATCAGCAGCTTGTATGTGGCTTTACCACTACAAATCCCATCACCTTTTTGTCACTTTTAAAGCACAGCCAAACAAGGTTTGGAAATTGTTCTGGAATTCCAAGCTGGTTCCCTCTGTCTCACAGACACCTGGAACCACCAGGTCACACCCTTGTGCAGATGTTCCAAGCCAAATGGGATTCTAGGGAAAAGGGATGACTGACTGACCAGGGGCCTCACAGGTGCCTAAATAACTAAACTGTTTAAACACATGGCCACCCCTCTCTCAACTTCAGGGTCCAAGGGAGTCCTGACCTGTCTTTCCATTTTATCACCACTCACTAGAGCAGCACCTAACAACAGGAAACCTTTGCAATGAGCACAAACAAGCAAAAACACTCCAGGGCAGCATTTCCCCAAGTATGCTTTTCATCATATAAATCCCACAAGACCTACTTTAAACACACACACACACACACACACACACCCCAAAAACCACATACAATAAATCAGGAAAATAGTGTATAAAATGCAGACCTTTGTTGGAGATTGAAACTACACAATAGCATTTCAAAGGTTCAGAAAGGCTCTAGGAACTTAATGTTGTCTAACCAAGCATTTCCCAAACTTTTTTGACAACAGAACCCTCTACTGACGTAATAATGATAGAATCTGCCAAAACCCACCTACTTCTCCAAGAAACTAAAAGATGTTTTTGAAAGATCTTACAGTATCATTTCAAATGAACAATAATCACGATGCAAAAACTTATTTTTCTGTGAATTTTTTAAAGAAACTACTTTGTTTTGCTAAGAATGCTCTTCTATCATAACAAGTCCCCTTCCTATACAAGTCCAGCTCAAAGTTTCCCTTTCTTAGAATACCTCCTCACCTCAATCACAGTGGTTTTAAGTCTAGGGCTGGGAAGCTGCGCCCTGAGCATACAGTACATCCTGAGTTTTGGACCAAAATATTTTGCAAACCATTAAAAAAAACCAAAACTTCATCTTTACTTTCAGAGTAAAGCAGCATTCTGAACCAATGACACTTCAATTAAACTTTTGAGGATAAAAGGATTACAAACCTTTAGTTCATGTAATGAACAACGAATTTCTTCATAATCTATTTAAGAAAAGTGAAAACACCGAAAAGCACATGTATATTCCACAGGGCTGAACAAGAAAAAAAGGCAAAAGATAATTCTCAATGCCAACAATATACACAAAAGACGACAATCACAACCCAGATTATACTCAGTGGCTCTGCTCAGGATTCCAATTATATAAATAACCAAACCAAGACAAAGTCAATTACTAAATCCCTATGAGCTTAAGACAAAAAACACAGACTGCACTTGCTTCATTAAAGCCTGGTCCTCATGTCCTCTCGTCACACCGTGTAATTAGAGATAACACAGCAAAGCAAAGGACTACCACATGAAGACACAGAAGGACTGTTTTTAACGTATTTATCCTTGGAAGTAAACCCAGGTACCATAGGAAGAAAATGACACTATTACAAATATAAAAACCAGAGCATATTTTATAGGGAAAAGGAATTCTTAGTTTTAGGTTATTGTTTTTTCTTTTCTGGTGAGGCAAAACAGATCTTTAGATAACCATTCATTACAAACCTGAGTTGTTTTTTCTTTAAAATTAAGAAAGAAGTAAATTATATTTAATTTACATTATGTATTTGTCAGAAACTGAATAGTAAATACTGTGTTTGGATCATTAAATTTAAATTGTAGTTTAGATAATGATACATTTACTTACTTTTAAAACTCTTTTATTTTGAAATTATAGACTCACAAGAAGTTGCAAAAATACTACAGACTCTGTGTATCCATCACTCAGCTTCTTACCTTTATTTATATTTTGGCTTTTAAAGGGTTAACAGTTTTGACAACATGAAAAACTGTCAAAAAACCTAATAGGCCTGATGAACACATATTCTTGGAAGAGGCTCTATGAAAACATACTGCTGACTTCAAACACCACTTTTATCACATGAAGGTACCTTAAAAATTGTTTTTCTGAGATTCTGTCACTGTTACCAATCTCTGCCTCTTTTGATGTCCAATGGTTTCCCACTTTTGCAGCTTCTGAAAACTTTAACTTAGCTGTTATTGAAATAAGCTCCCTTATTCCTTCATGTTAATATATCTGGCAACATTAAATGAATAGAAATTACGAATAGAAATCAACATGCTTGGATTTATTGTAAGAATCTTGAACTCTCTAGTATCCCCAAAATAATGCAAACATACCTAAGCTGGAATTTGTCAATGCCAACCTTTGTAAGGGAAAAAACCATTGTGAAGGAATGACCATCCTCAATGCTCTCTACAGAGAATTGGTGTTATAAGAAGTGGTGGGTCTTATGGATGACTGATGACAATGTGTTGATGAGGGATCTTTATCTTATGGGAATTATCTGATCAATTTTCTAATCCTATACTAGCACCAAACATAAACACATAGTCCCTTTTATCAGATTCCACCATCACATCCAAAAGAAAATAGCTCACAGTATTTTAAGACTGTGGGCCATCCATCTCAGCAAACTCAAACTTTATCCAAAGCACATCCTGCCAGGCTGATCGCAAATTCTCTTCCCAATCTGGAAAGCTGTTCCTTTCTAAGAGCTTCCTATATGTGTGGCTGCTCCCTGGAGCAGGTTATACTCAGTTATAGCTTCCGAGCATCTTGTTGGCCAGTCCCCAAAATGCTCAACTAAGTAGCCCCATATACAAATTCTCACTTATGTAAATCTCATTTTGCATCTTAGGAAAGGTAGTCTGGAAACATCAGACCCTACCTACTGCAAGGCTAAAGGCAAGTCAAAGCAGGAATGACCAAAAAGAAATAAATCATATTTACAGTTGTCTTTTCTACTAAAATATGACAAATCCTTGTCATTCTAAAATGATGTCTTTTCATTAAACTTTCAACACATGAAATATTACAGTATGATTACTGGCTGAATTCTGTGTCAAAAGAACATGATCTCACATTCTTATAAAAATGTGAACACATTTCTTACCATGGGCATTAGTAGTTTTACTGACAGAAAACTGTTACATAACCCAGTATTACTTTGGACTGTGACCATGGAGAAATTTGGGAGTTAAATTTACCACTTGATTTTAGAATCTGTTAGGGTTGGTATAGCTCTCTCTCCCCCATTTTTTAGTTTTCCAAAAACTAATTTTAATTGTCCTGTTTTATGTATTTGACAATTTTAAGCCACTTCAAATGCTTCTTAGAAGGTTTAATATAAATCATGATTGAAAATGATCAACTCTAACTACAGCATAACCAGATGTCTGATTAATGTGTTAACCACCCTTCTCCAATATACATGGACCCCAGGGGACAATAAAGTCCTATGGTAATGATTTTCAACATAGAATATTCATACAGGTTTTGGATGCTGGAGTCTAATGGAAAATTAATACAAAACACACAAACCTGTTGTATAAGTAATGTGAAACTCATTACTTTCCCTAAATGCATCCAAACAGATGAACAAGATTTTGAAGATTACCTTGTTTCTCATTTAATTAAAACTTTCAAGAAAAAATATTTACAGTGACTTAAAGACTCCTGTATAATACCTAATACATGAACAAACTGGGAGGATGCGGGTCAAATACAGCTGAGCTCCATTCAGCTCAAATTAGGGGAGTCTCTTGACTACAAAACTGTTTTCTTAACACGGGAGTTTCTGCAGGATGTGATAAGATTTGCTGAGCACCATAGTAATCTTTTAAGACACTAATCAAAAACATGAGCCCATAATTAAAAAAACCCAGAAGTGGTTTTAGGACAACAGGAGCACCTCAGCCACTAAAGTATGCAAGATTCTATTCTAAGCAAAACCACCTGCACAACAAATCCTTCAACAGTTCAGTAACCAATAAGTAGAAAATGTTCTTTAAAAACTATTGTTATTTCCGCATATTCCACTGGATCATTCAACTGTTGTAGTTTAACTATATGGAAAATAATAAGTTGCCATAACGCTTTTGACTACATGATAGGCTTCTTCTGAAAGAACACTGGTCTGAACCAAGCCTGGTGAACTTGGACCAGGCACACAGTAGGTACTTCTATTACTCTGGCTGAGGAAGGTCTAACAACTGGGCAAATTCCAGTAAGACTTTACAGCCTGGCGTAATAACGATGACCAACATACTCAGTTCTCCTGAAATCAATCCAAGAAAGAGATTACTAAAGTTAAAAATGTACTACAAATACACAGGTCTAAAGCTGCCACATTTGCCCAATAAACTAAAAGCATCCTTGCCAACCTTATATTGAACACATCAGCAAATACCAGAAGTGCATATAGTCAGATGAATATTATATGTAACCACCTTTGATATTTATATATATACATATATATGGTACTAATCCTCCCAAAAGGTTACACTTCTGAGAGCATAATTAAAAAGCACATTCCTCTTTGTTTTTTAAATAGACTTTTCTATTGAAGTGAATAGAATATTAGAATATTACATTTTTCCTAATGTCTAAAGTCATCAAATTTCTAAACAGAAGAAAAAAGCCTCAAAGAGCCACATATTAGATATTCAAACTGTTCTAAGAAAACGAAATTAATAAAATAACTTGAATAAATAAGAGTGCACATTCAGAACAGAATTCTAGCTTTTGGTCAGCAACATATGAAATAAAGGCAAAAATCTGCCAAGATTAAGGCAGGTTTTTGGTTTTTTTTAATATACAGTACAATATGTTTTCTTTGTTCCCCAAGTTCATTTAGCATTCACTTTGATGTTATCTAAAGTGCACTGCCAGGTCAAAATACAAGCTTCCTAATTAAGAAAAAATAGATATCATAGAAAGTTTCTTTTTAGAGTCTCCCTTATACCTACTAATGGCATTTTCTTTTTGCCTTCACACTTAGTGTAAGAGATTACTGCAATAATCATGACTGTGGACACAAAGCATGATGACTGTCAGGGTGATAGTCGTTGTAAGGAATTATTTTCATCTTCTGCTGGAGTCAATTTGAGTGTTGGCAGTTTCCGAGGAGGAAGTTGAGGGCTTTGGCGAAGATTGTCATCCATCTGTGGGAAGTACAAAAAGTACATGTGACTGATGGCTGTGGCACCACTTTCGTGGACTGTGACCTCCTCATCCAAACTATAGCCTAGAAGAGTACAGAACCATATGGTTCCAGGACTGCTCGAGAAACCTTTTTCTTACAGATAATCTCGCAGGAACTCTAAATGTCATACCTCAAATACCAGCTAACTCAGTTTATGTGTACAAGCAATATTGCTCATCCTTGATGCCTCTGCAAAATTATAAATTCCACAAAATGAATATTCTACTGAACTCAACCACATCACAACTGGATTTAAGAGGTCTCCTAGTATAGTAAGTGGAAAAGCATTACTTCTGATACACTAAGCTCCACAGTTTACTAATTATGTTGATGTACAATACCTCATTTGATCTTCCCAACACAACTGTGAAGAAACCATGGAAGACGATCATTCCCTATTTTACGTAGCAGCAAAACGAAGCTCAGAAAGGTTAAGAAATTTGCATTAGGTTGCAAAGCTAGTATCAAAAGTTGAAATTAAAACCCAGGTCTTCTTTAAAATTTTTTCTTTAACCTTTATTTATTTTTGAGACAGAGAGAGACAGAGCATGAATGGGGGAGGGTCAGAGAGAGGGAGACACAGAATCTGAAACAGGCTCCAAGCTCCGAGCTGTCAGCACAGAGCCCGATGCAGGGCTCGAACTCACGGACTGCGAGATCACAACCTGAGCCAAAGTCGGACGCTTAACCGACTGAGCCACCCAGGTGCCCCAAAACCCAGGTCTTCTTATTCCAATACTATTATTCTTTCAACTGCACCCCACAGCCTCAGTGAAAATGACCTGTACTCCCTTCAAAAAGACAAATTCTTTTAGGCTGCAAGTATTTAGACCATAGGAAGCTAGGAAAAGAGACAGATAGAAGGAGAAACTATTTAGACCTAATCCAAAATTCCAGGTATTCCAAACACCAGATCAGTTCTAAGCCTGCTCTAGAAAAAGAAATTACTATGGAGCATATTGAGAAAATGTCCAAGAGTTTCAGACTTGCCCTCAGGAGGACATTAGCATCCCTGGAAACACTAGGAGAGGAATCATTTAGAACTGAGTCAGGCTGGTGGGAATGCAAACTGGTGCAGCCACTCCAGAAACAGTATGGAGGTTTCTCAAAAAATTAAAAATAGAACTACCCTATGACCCAGCAATTGCCCTACTAGGTATTTATCCAAAGGATACAGGTGTGCTGTTTCGAAGGGAAACACGCACCCCCATGTTTATAGCAGCACTATAGACAAGCCAAATTATGGAAAGGTCCCATATATCCATCGACTGATGAATGGATAAAGATGTGGTATATATATAATGGAATACTACTTAGCAATCAAAAAGAATGAAATCTTGCCATTTGCCACAATGTGGATGGAACTACACTGCATTATGCTAAGTGAAATAAGTCAGAGAAAGACAAATATGATTTCATTCATATGTGGAATTTAAGAGACAAAGCAGATGAACATAAGGGAAGAGAAGCAAAAATAATTATATGTTACTTATATATAAATAAGAAATACATATGTTTATATATGTATATACATACATATATACATTTATGTGTGTATATATATATATATTCCATGTATATATATATACACACACACACACACACATATATGGAAAGAATGGAGTCATACCTTACAAAGCTACCTTTCAACCAGAACACCCCACAAACAGAGTGCAGGGTTCACAGCCTGGTGCTGAGCTCTCTATCAGCTCAACTTCAGAAAAGACTTGAAAGCAGTTGCCGCCCAAGATTCCACCAACAGCAAACAGCATCTGACTACCCACTTGATAAACAGGCTTTTCCAGAGTTTTGATTATGTGCAGAGCAAAACTCTCCCTTATCTCCTCCAGATGCTCTTATAAAGCACAGAGGAAATGTCTCAGCAGAGATACAAGCAGCTTACAGGAAAGGAAAGAGTATAAAAGATTAACTTTTAACTTTCCAATGGAAAAAAATATTCCCAGTGGACTGCTTGAATCAATTGGGTTGTCTTTTTTTTTTTTTTTTTGTAAGAACTAAGTCCCCCAAACATTACTTTTTTTCTTTTTTTCTTAAGCTCTAGATTTTCTGCGCAAATGGCGAACAGTAGTAGCCAATAGGATTTGCTGCTCTTTTGTCCTGCAGCCAACAGTGAACCACACTGAAAAGCAGATATGAAACAGGGGTGGGAAGGAGAGTGCCTGATTTAGGAGAGTGCCTGAGTTAGGAAACGTTCACATGCTGATAATGACCCAAGATCGAAGTGTACAAAGCGGTGACAGGGCCTCTTGGGTTCACCTCCTGCATATGCAGGTATTTCGTGGTTCCCTTTACATGTCTGTCATGAATTTGCCAAATATAGAAAATGAAAACTGTATTGGATAGCCTTCATCCAGCAGCTAAGTGTCGAAAACAATCTGAGTAATCTTTCCATTATCCACACCTAACACTCAATATCTTTCCTCTCATGGGATTTACTGGGCTGGGCTAAGAAGACAAACTTGGCATTCAACGAGCCCACCTAAACTTTAATACTGGTCTTTTACACTTTTACTGCTCAGTCCTACTCACTTCTCAAGTTCTAACAACACATGAGATACTCTACAAAGAAACAGAAAGGTCATTCCAGAGAGTGACAGAGGTTTCTTGCTACTAGTACTACTAGCACTGGATACATAATTTCATTCATTTGCAGCTTACTAACTGCAAAGCCCATGATGGAATCCAATTTGTAGGGTTCGAATCCCCTTTGCCACTCACCACCTGAATAATCTCGGGCAGGTAACATACACTGCTCTCCAGGCTTCACTATCCTTATCTGTAAGATAGGACTGACGGAGTAGCTGCACACACAGCGGCTGTGAGGATTCAATGAGGTAACTCGAAAGCTCATAGGACACAATGCCTGTTATTCAGACCTCAAAAACTGCTAGCCAGTGTTATTAGGCCACATTGCCTCATTAGTCATTAGTGAAAGAATGAAGTATCATTCACTGGCATAAGAAAAAAGGAAGTTGATCAGACACTTGGGGAAAAAAATGAATCAACTCTCTTGTATTTTTCCAATTAGAATCACCCTTGAAATTCCCACTACTGGCGTGCGTGCTCTCTCTCTCCTACCCGCTTCCTCAGTATCTCTCTCTCAGCAAATGAACGCGACCAAAGTGGCAAAATACCCACAGTGATGAAAAACTGTGGGCAACAATTAGAAAAGAGAAGGATAGAAGAAGCAAAGCAAAACAGTTTATGTAGAAGAAAGAAAAAGACATCATAGTGTGATTAACAAGAAAGGACCAGCACTGGTGCTTACAATCTCAAGAAATGTTAACCTTGGGAGACAGAAACAGACAAGCAAGAAGTGTGTTTGTTTTGTCTTTTTTTTTTTTAAGCTAGGCTTTTGGTCTCCCAACTTGAAAAATACTAATTATATGGTAAAAATAAGCCCAATACCACTATCAAAGTAATCGAACCACTACTGGCTTCAAAACACTACATTATATACAACTGTAGTAAATGTATATTTGAGCAGCTTTATGAAAAAATAAACTCTTTAAAAAATAAGAGGGTAAAATAATGCATATTAACTATACAATTAAAGTTACAATATTAATTTCAGAAAGAAAAATACTAAACTACTATAAAATAATGATTGAAGTAAACTTGACCTTTTCAATCAAGTTGGATTCCTTATTTACAAGTTGTGTGAGTTTCTGCAGATTTGCGTCTACTGTTTCTTGACCAGCAGGAGAGGTGCCTAAGAAGCCAGGACAGAAATCAGAAAGACAGAAAATTTTGAAAGTCTTTAAAGCTGTTCAGACTGAAAGAATTTTGAGTCTATCCACCCTCCCAAGTACACTGCCCTCCAAAAATAAATAAAATCAAGCAAAGAGAAAAACCATTATGGGTTCAAAGGCAAAGAGGGATAGTAATGCTCCAAAACCAAACCTAAACAAAAGGACTAAATTTGTCCATGAAGTAGACAGCCAAGTGTTATGCAACCAGCCAAAGTGATTAGTAAAAGAGCACAATGGTCCTCATTTCCTTCTCCAATTTGAGCTGTACCTTTTCCCCACCCGTATCAAATAGGCCTTTAGTCACAGCTATTTGGATAGCTGTCTAAGGCAGGGACTCCCAAACAGCTATCAAACAGGCATCCAAAGTATTTGGAAGAACTTAAAAAATACAGATTTCTGGGCTCTACCCTGAAGGGATTCTAATGCGGTATCTTTGGCTTAGGACTCAAGACTGTACATGTCCTCTGGCCAGGTTTGCTAATCACTGCTCCAAAGTAACAAGGTTGAAAGTGATTTAGTTTCATGACTCACCCCTCTCTCTCTAAAAAACATATAAACCACCATGAAAAAGAAACTGTCCCTAAGCCAGCTATCCTTGTAACTGCTGTTTCTTAAAAGGACAATTTCTGCCAACTCTCCCAATACAAATTTAGTATCCCAATCACTTACACACATGGCCCACACACCCAAGGAATCATATCCTAAGTGACAGGTGCCCTCTATTTACAATACCTCCAGTCTGATGCAATCAGTTTTCAAGTAGTGGTATCATGGGAGTGTACCTCACCCAAATCAATCTGCTGCTGATTTCTGTTCACGCAGGAAAATGCTAGAAGCAACATTTAAAATAATTGCCCATTTGCATTAGGATAGATGCTATCTTTCAGCAGGGACTCAATAAATACCTGTAGTTAACTTTTAGAAGAAAATGATCCACTTCAAAGGGGCAATATTTAAAGAAGAACAAGAGGCAAGAAATGTATAAAATCTAGAAGAATAGGCAAAAGGAAAATATCTATTTCTCTATTTAAAATAGAACACATGGGAATAAAGTTGGAAAAATAAAATTTTTTCAAATGCTGTAAGTCAGCACTTAAAGACGATACACAAACTTCTTTAATAAGTCATGAATTTTGCTTATCCATCCTTAGGAGAATATGCAGATACTCTACGCAAACGCAGATTAGCTGAAGAGAAGCCAGCTTACCTCCAAGACTAAGCTTAAAATAACTATTTAGGATGTCATCACAAAAGCGGCACAGGTTGGAGAGCTGTTTCAAATGTTCTTGTAATTGAACTTTAGGAAAGCATATTTTATAAAGAGGTGCAAGAAAACCAAACACGTAGGCATCCAAGGTAGATGGCCTAAAAATAAATTCAGGATTTTTAAAAAACACATAGGAAAATATTAACTTGGGATCATGTTAAAAATATTTTTTCTCTAATACATTTACCAATTCTGAAGTATACAATATAGTCTTTTAGAAGGTTTACTGCACATGTAAGCTTATAAAAATGATGTAATGAGGGTTTTTAAAAAAAAAAATTTAATACTCTAACCATTTATTTTATTTAGAAGAAAATTAACTTATAAATTAAAAATTCATCTTTACTTACAAGTGTTATATGAAGATATGAGACAGGGTGGGGATAGTCTTAGATATTTAAAATTCATATATATAGCATGTCTAGTCAATTTTTGATTACCATGGACAGAGAAATTACTATAGTAATTCATTAAATCTTTTTTTTTTTTTTTTTAAAGCAAAACCTCATGGGTGGGAGGGGTGGCAAGAGGACTTGCTTTAAATAACTACTCATGGACTATATGCATACAAAACACGAAAACGATTTTTAAGGGAATGCACTCACGTATCTCCAAAGAAAAACTGAGATGTTCCCAATCTGTTTGACAGAAGATTTAGGCACTCCTTGGCATCTCTGTATATCTAGTAAGGATGAAATTACAACTCAAAGGTAGAACAGATGCTCTAGAAGTCCTTCTAAGCAGGCATCCAGGATGTTCATCTCTGCTGTCTCTCTTGTCCCTCCCCTGGAGGGACCTTGCTCTGAAAGTAATCCCAACCATACCTGAGCTTCCACTTCTCGGAGGTGGTAAAGGGGAGGCTCTCCTTTAGTCAGGAGAATTCTATTCAGTGCTCCCTTAGACATCCTTCCAGGCAGGATCAAACTCAAGGGAAAAGGAATTCGTGAAGCAAACCATGGCTTTGTCACAGCAAAGTAATTGTCACTCTCAACCCAGAATGTGTGAAGCTACAAAACAAAACAAACGAAAAACGCAAGCATGTTCTTTTATGAAAAGAAAGGTCATTTAAACAGTGTGAAAGTTTTGGGTAAATATCCTTGTATAAAGTGGCTTCATAAAACTTTCCCAATTAGAATGACTCAAGGATGAAACAAGATTTTAAACATGTGGATTTGTTGATTGCTATATCCCAGGCATCCAGAACAAGGCCTGGCACATATGTGCTCAATAAATATTTGTTGAAGGAGTGAATGATAGTGAGCTAAATTCTATACATGGAGGAACAAACTCTGTCTTCCACAAATAATTTTTATTTCCAAAATGACGGTATCTTTCATGTTGTTTCATGTCTTAGCTGAATGTCTAACAGAACCCAGTTTCACAGTAACATGAAAGAATCAAAATTAATTCATAAATGAAATTTCCTCCTTTAAGCCTTTTTCACTATGTTCCTTCTAAATAGATTAAAGCATACTTTTAGTAGGTCACTACAATGATGTAATATTCACCAATGCTCACCACTGCAGGAAGAAGCTTCTCTTCAAGGAGAGCAATGTAAGCCAGTGTATCTGCCCCCTGTTTTGCTGAGAGTTCATAATCAGCATTATATTTCTATTAAAAAATATAAAACCAAAAAACTTCAGAAGTCAAGGGTATCCCAAAACAGTGAAGTTAAATAAATTAAGATTCCTATTCTTCCTCAAAAATGGCAAATATGATATTGAAAGGCATAATGATAAATACAAATTCAATGACAAATGCCGTTTAATGCAAATACAGTTCTTAGCACATCCCGCACAAAGTAAGGTCAATAAATATCAGCTACGATTTTTTATTAATTGATATTCTGTGATTGTTTACGACCTAGTTTAGCGCATGGCATGTTGTACCAACAATAAATAGAAGTTATTACCTTTAACAATAAGTTAAACAACAATAAGTTCTAATTGGTTGCATTTTTCCCCATGAAAAAAGAAAACCTTCCAAGTTAGAACAATTCTAAATTTTGTTGACCTAGGAGTTATTTTTTCAAGAAAAGTATTGGCAAAACCAATTACAACTTTTGTATTTATAAAAGTCTTTACATGTTTAAACATTTTGTATGCATTATATAAATCTTTAGATGCTCACACATTTTAGATACCTTACTTCATGGGACATTTAACTGCAACTCTCCAGTGAAGCGCTTTTTAAAAATAAAATAGGTGCTAGTTGATGGGAACTCAGATGCCATATGCAGCAGAAAGTGAGTGGCAGCTTTCACTCAAGTGATAATCATATCAATAAGTGTAATCATAAAGATGGCTTCATTGAACCTGCCTATTTCTAAACTTCAAGAAAATCCAAAAAAGTACATGAAAATATAAATTGAGTGTTCCTCACTACATGACTTTCAAATCACAGTAAAACTCATGATTCAGAGCGGTAATTCTCAAGTCTCTTTTTATATCAAACTCCAATTGTCTACTGAGTTGGTAAAAAAGAATTTTAAAAAATTCCCCAAAGCTTACAATGTATTTTTTTTTTAAGTAACATGTAGGGAACAATCTACTTCTTCAAAAGGAACCACCCACCTGTTTTCTTAAAAAGTTTAGTATTTTCGCAGGCTGAGAAACAATGTTGTCTTCAGTTGTCAAAATTGGTACATCTCCTACAATCAAAAACAGTTGACATACAAGGAAACATTTCTATTTGCTCTGAAGAGATTGCAGTCCCCTAAAAACCATACCAATTGCACATTCGGAGGGGGCAAAATGAGTAAGCTCATCTTAGTTTTTTGCAATTTCACAAAGCAGTTGTAGAGAACAGTGCCGTATTTCCATTGATCTGACTTGTACTTTACAGTATTACTCAGAATGCCCAAACCGTAAGCAACACACAGCCAAAGTTATGGTAAGAAGAAACTAAAACCCCAAGGTACTCCATGGCTATATGCTTCATAGCTTTAAATTCAGATATGGAGGTTGGGGGGCGGGGGGGGGGGGGGGGGGGGGGGGGGGGGGGGGGGAGTCCCTTAAGAGAGGAGAAAATTGTGTTTACACTGTACCTCTTGAACCTCTCCAGGTGTTATCTATGACATTGACTTTCAAGGGTGCACCAGAAAATTTGGCGTAAGCCTGAAACAAAGTTGGTAAGAAAACATTTAGACTGAGTACGTAGTGCAAATCTGCAAGCAGCTTTAATTCACAGCCCGGTCGCCCTAAGGCAGAAACTCCTGACACCGGGGCTGAATCCCTCTCCGGAGGCCTAGCCGAGGAAGCGCGCGCCAGCTACCCAGCTTTCGGGGACTTTGTTCCCCCAAAGGTCCGGGGGATGCAGAGCGGGGCGCGTGCGCAGCCTGCTTTGGTCTTAAGCTCCACCGCCCAGAAAGCTTTGCAAGGCTGAGTGGGCTCGCAGGCAAGCGGAGAAGCCTTGACTCTCCCGCCAAGGCCTCGGCGGGGTCACAAGCCAGGCTTTTGACTCCACGGGAGGGAACCCAATGTGGTACAGCGAGAAGCGCCCCGGCCGGTCTCGGCCCTGCAGCGCCGCAAGGAACCACGGCGAGCAGCGGAGACCAGGCCCAGCCAGCCTCGCGCTCTGGCCCCGCCCATCTTTCCTGCGCCCTGGTCCGCGAGGCGGCCTCACCATCACCACCAGGGACTCGCTGTGCACCGATGGGAGCCCCCAGCCACCTCCCCAGCAACTGAGCTCCAAGGGGGCCGCCATCTTGCCGGGGCCGACCTTTGTTACCCCGGAAGTACTTAAACGCTCAATTTCCGGCCCGGTGAAACACGGGGCGGGGCGAGAGGAGGGAAGGGTACCTTTAGACTGTGAAATGCGTCAAGAGGTGGAGGGGTTAAAAGCTCTCTTAGCCTCAGCTTGGCCTGATGGCTAGGAGTCTTGGCCTTTGAGTTAGACCTCCCGCCCTCCCCGAGAGTCTTAAAATATTTATAGGTACCTAAAGTGCTCCCAGCCCTTTGAGAATTACTACCTTGGGCTTCAATTAAGCCATCTGTAAAATAGACATGATTGTTGTGTTTAAAATTATGACACAGGGAGAAATAATTTGACATACAATAGGCACTCAATAGTTCAGCTCTTTCCTCCTTATATTTGGCTTTTGTCTCTTTCCACTCTGAATTATGTCACCCTCAAGTTCACTTGGTCTGCTCTCCTTAAAAGTAATCCTATTCCTGAAATTTGTGAAGTGAATTGCCTTTTTTCAATCTGGAATATCTCCTTTTCCCTGCCATTGCTCCCTCAAAAGTGACCTTAGATGTCACCTTCTCCAGGATGATTTTACAAAGTTAGGAAGTTCCTTGTACATACTTAAATTGTAGCTTCTATTCCATACAGATTTTTTGCCTTTCACTATCCTTGAAAACTCCTTGAAGATACAAAAGGACTGGCTTCATAGATGTGAGACCTGTGCAGTCACCCAAGGCCCCATGCTTAGAAGGGCCCACAATTGCCTTACTGTTCTGCTACCATTGTCTTGAAATTCTTAACTTTTGAACAAGAGCCTTCCATTTTTATTTTCTATTGGGTCCTAGTGATTGTAAAGCCAATTGAGTCTGTGGGCATGAACTAAATGTTTGTTTTTTGGTTTTTGGTGTTTTTTTTTTGTTTTTTTTTTTTTAATATCAAACTGACAGTTTCTCAGGGAAACTGTCAAAGAGGAAAAATGGCCCTTCAGAATGCCATGATCCTAACATGCTTACAGAGTGTGGGAGTTACGCCTTGGGTGCTGGATCTTCTAGAAGGCACAACAGTCTTTCTGGGTTACCCTCTCAGTCACTTCTCTGAATTCTTTGCCTTCCTCTGTTTCACTAAGTTAGTTGGGTCCCCTTCAGTAACTGAAAGCTCAAAAGAAACCTCTGCAAATTTTCATAAAATTATAATTCGACATATAATTGCTAGGTACTCCCTAGGGTTACATGGTTTATATAGCTTATATGGCTATCTAAATTTTTCCTCTTTCAAATGCAAGAGTTCTCAGAAATGAGAAGGGTAAAGTATGTCAATGGTGAGAATCCATTAAAAATACTTTATAAATGGGAAATGCTTAACATATGTACCATTGAAACCAAGTATCAAAACATGTATTGAGTAGTTACTGTATGCAAGACACAGTAACGCTCTAGGAGAATACAGAGATAAATAAGACATGAACTCTATCCTCAGGAATTTATAGTGCACAAAGGAAAGATACAACTAAGGGTAACAAGTCATATTATCATGAGTAAAGGCAGAGATATAAATGAAAATACTATAGAAGCACAAACCAGAAAGGATGCATTCTCTGTGTGATCAGCGGAGGCTGTCTCTTCAGCCTTCAGAGTAAAGAAAGTAATTCAACTTTCAGACTCAAGAAATAAGACCTCCCTGTTTTGAGGTTAAAATCTTAATCCATAAAGCTCAGAGTCCATATACTGCAACTGAGCATTTAAACTGTGAATGCCCTGAGTCTTGTTTGCAAGGTGGAGGGGGGTGGGCAGTGGATGCACATTTTTTTGTGGACACATAATATAATTACTCAGTTTAGCCTTCTCCCTTATTTCTGATGTTACATATGACAATTTCGTTTGCATTAAAGAGAAATTAAATATCTCCTCTTAGCATTGCATTCAGACAGAATAGCATGCTAATGCATCTGATGAGAAAATCCTTACACACAGGTTTATCTGTGTCTATTTAATAGCAATCTTTTATTGTTGCAATTCCTCCTGAGGGTCTGTATTTGCTAGGTTGAATTTTAAAACCCTAGCACAGCTGATTGCACAACCAGGCTGAATGTTGTTCCAGAGAACCACACAGAAAGCTGAAACCTTCAGGAATTATGCCTGGTATGGATAGTTGGCCCCTGTGCCTTTTTTGGCTGCTAAAGCGTGTTGTTCAGAGTTCATCAAAATCATAATTTCAGATTCCTACCAGGAAGCATATTATCTGCAAAGCATTCACATATGTGTGGGATAACTTGAATCACAGCTTTATAATGAGTATTCCAGACAATGTTTTCCCTTAAAAAGAAATACTATTTTTGAAAAGAAGGACATTAAAAAGGGCCTCATCTAGTGACAGTCATGTGAACTCAGGGGACCTGACCTTGGCATCCATTTGTATCCTTCATGTGTTTCCTAACTTGAAAGCCATGGTGTAAGTTCTATTAGGATCTTTTTGTTTGGGTGATTAAGAATCTGTGAAATGCCCCTGTCAACAAAGATGAAAGTTTTGTGATAAGCGATCAGAAAATATGGTCCTTTGCGGAAAAGGTAAACCAAACAGCCTTGACTATCTCTTTCCACTCTGAACATCTATAATTTAGTTCCATGTTCGGGTATAAAATCCTTGGGGAGGAAAAGCAAACACTGAGTAGAAGTCAGGAGTGTTGGTTTCTTACTTTGCCTCTAATTAACGATAAGACCTTAAGCCAATCATTTTACCTTTATTACTCAACTCATTCACTTATAAAGTAAGTGAGATACTGAAATACTATCATGCTATGTGTGATAAACATTTAATAATAGTTAACATTCTTGCAACAATTTCTACATGACAGAAACTGTTCTTTGTATCTGACATAACTCATTTGATCTTCATGATGACTCCATAAGGTAGGTAATGTTATGTTCTCCTGTGTCCAAGGAGAGAAATTAAGGCACAAAGATGTTCATTAACCTTCCCAAGTTCACCTAGCCAGTAAGTGACAGAAGTAGGATTTGAACCCAGGTAGTGTGGGCTCATACTCTTAACCACTGTGTCATACTGCTGGTAGCCTTCTAAGTAGTCCATTAAAAATCCTAGCTTCAGTCAAAATAAACCTATCAATGCCATGATAGTACTATCATTACCTGTTTTAATAATATTTTTTGGTATTAATCCATTAAATAATTTCCTTAAGCAATTTCTGTATGCCCAGCACATTGCTGGGCTATCAGGGAATAATAACTTATGTTCACGCTTTCCTAGGGATAGTTGATAAAACAAGGCCTACATGTTTGAGGTAAGTAGAGGTGATTAGGAGTACCATTTTGTCCAGCAGACCACAAGTCTAATGTGATTTTAGACAAGAGACTTTAACATACTGCACTGCATGGCAAAGGCCTAGTGGAAGAAGTGGGACTTCAGCTGACCTGGCAGGAAGGATGGCTACATTGGATTTAGATTGGCACAGGGAAGAGATTCCACATGAGCTATGCTACCTTAGTCAAGGCATAGTGCTGGGGATGATTATGGCAAAGAATCTTCAGTAAATGGATGCTGAATTTGATAACAAGACTGATCGGGATGTTGACTGACTAACTTAAGAACCAGAATTGGTGATGTTGGAAGGCATGGATATATGTAGTTTTGAGAAAGTAAAAAAGAAGAGTAAAAGTCTGAATACAATATTAACAGACACATGTAGTCATGGATAGAAGGTGGGATGCTATCGTCTCATGGACACCGTAGGAGGAAGGGCTTTATGAACCTATCAATTGTACTAATTGAAGGAAAATGTTGTGGCAAATGAAGTGAGGAAATGAGGCTGAGTATTAATAGAAGAAAATCAACTGGCACCCTTGTGCTGAGCATTTTTCATTGAATAGGTTGTTAGAAATCAAATTGGAAGGGATTGTTGAAGAAAATGGTATTAGGAACAGGGGCAAGGAAAAGATCATAAAGGCATGTGACAGATGAAGGAAAGAATGGGACGGGAGCAGATGACTCAAGATAAATGTCTTGGAGGAGATGACAAGGTGAATCTACATACATATGAAGACAAAATTGGCTACTAGTGAGCAAAAGCCTAAAGATGCCAGATAGAAGATACCTTGTATCCTATTCTTAGAGTTCTCAGAATTACCCTAAGAGTTGAGAGCCTGAGATCAGGAGTATGAGCAGTGCAGCTGGCACTGAAAATGAGAGAGGCTTTCTTTCTGACACCAAAGGAAGTTTCAAGGACAGCATGGGATCCTGAGTTAGCCCAAGCCAGTTACCTTCAAATTTCTGTCTTACATTAGAAAAAAATCAGAAGAGCCTGAAAGAGAGATTGGGGCTTCAGAAAGAAGGACAACAATTTAGAGAATGTACTGGTGAGTTAGTAAAAAGTGAATGAAAGCGTTGCTGACAGTGGCAAAGGTCAAATTTAAATTAGTATGAAGGAGAGAAATCAAGTGAGAGTCATGGACAGGCTAATAATTAGTCATCCTTTCAGTTATTATTTAAATATTCACCATTTTTCAAAAACTGTAATGTTGGTAGCTAGAGAACATAACAGGATCAATTTAAATTTTAATCTTTCCATCTGTTAAAAGTCCTACATGGAAACCTAGGCTTTAGTACCACTTAAAGTTTGCTCCAGAGGATGGCACAGAGAAGAGGGAAAGGATCCTAGGAATTGTGTGAAGACGGAACTTATGGATTCAGTGGGGTTCAGCCATCTTTATGTCTTGCTAAGTTAGCACAGTTGTGTGGCTTCCTCCAGTGGTACTTTGTGGCCCAGAAGTTTAAATAGGGAGCCAGCTTCATTTATTCATGTAGTATCAAGGCTATCAGGCAGTGGTATGTATTGTAAGGGATTAATTTTGTTTCTCCAGCATAGTGAACCTGATGTCTGTGTTTTGTAAGAAAAAGAATTAGATAAAACAAAAATAGTAGTGTTATCTGACATAGCAATCAAACAGGAAAATTATATTTTAAAAATGAAGATGGTGAGGAGTCTTAAGAGGAAATAAGGTGTGTAT